ATTTTTGAATACTTAAAGTTAGGGGAAATTGCAGCGAGTGGACGCTGGCGAAGATGTCATCCGTTCTAGCGACAGTACTAAATTTAATTAATAGGCTTTTTTTATGGCCTTCACCGTTTTTTTTTGGAAAGTTTAGGGCCTTTAGGTATATATTCCACTATAATTCATGTTTCTCTTTAATTTGAGATTTTATACACATCTCTCAATTCTACTCACATTTATATTTTAAAGTTTTCTCCCATGAACATGTGAGCCTTTTTTATTTGTTTATAAAGGAAAATACCATATTAAACTCAAAAAATATGTCTATTAAGTTCTTGGGCTTCTATTATATTGCACTCATTCAACTTATTTTTCTCTAGTATAGGAGCTTTGCATATCACTCAACTCTAGTCATATGTGAACCTTATACTCCAAGACAATTAAACACAAGACTCACATAAAATTTACTAAATAGTGAAGCCAATTAAAGATGACAAAAAATTGCACCTTATAACATGAGTAAATTATTGGTTTGAAAAGAGTATTTGTAAATTTTATCATGCATATACATAAATTTATTTATGGTGTATTTCATTTGAGAGAAATAGAAGAGAAATTCACCTTCTAACACAAGTAAATTATTGGTTTGAAAAAAGTAATTATGAATTTAGTTATACATATATCTAAATTCATTTATAGTATATTTAGTTTGAAATAAATAAAAAAGAAGAGAGGAGAGGATACGATATTCTTTCATTTCCTTTACCTCTGGCCCCTTCCCTCCCCTCATTTAAATAAATCTTCTCTTTCTTCTAAATTTTTTATTAATTAAATGAAGAAATTTTTTCCCTTCTCCTTCCTTTAATTTCCTCAAACAATACATACTATTAGGATTTGATTCTGAACTCATCCAAAACAAATTTTAAGTTGTTTTATTCTTTTTATAATTGATACAGAGTGATAAAATTTGCTTATCTAACTTGTTGGTCAAAGGTGCAGTTGTATGTTCATGGTTAACGATTTCACTCAATTAACCCTGGGCTAAATATCCTAACAAATTAAGTTGCATTCACTTATAACGACGTGATTAAGATCACATGCTAAATTGTTGGTTTTATACAAATTTTTTTAAAATAATTAATTGTGAGATTTGAAAATATTAGTTTTTAAATTAATTTTAATTTGTTAGATACTACATATCAATTATTTTGTTATTTATTTGTTAATTAATAATTATTAATTGTTTTAATAAAGAAATTAAATAGAATTAATTTTTTATGAGAAATTGAATTTCATTGCTCTATAAAAATCATAACAGTTACATAATCAATCCAAATGAGGTAATACGTAATAAGCATTGTTAAACTTGTAAAATGTATAAAAACACAAAAATTATAACCAACATGAATATCACACAATAAACCAT